CTCACATCCCTCTAGCCCAAGAGCCCAATAGCTCAAGAGCCCTGTATCCCTATTGCCATATAGCCCATGTAGCCCCAGAAAAGAACTGAGTGGGGTTACCCCGTATCAGTCATACACATATACACGCACCTCCAGAAGCACTGGAAGGAGCCAGTCGCGCAACGCAACCCATGCAGATGCCCGCAGAGCGCAATGGCAAATGAGTCCGCCGTTTGCGAAATAAACGCCCACGTGCGGAAGTACCGAGAGCCCCGCCCCGCGCCCCGTATTTCAATGTTGGCCACCAAACACGCCGAAGGGGAGTGCGAAGCGTTGCGAAATAAACGCCCACTTACGTTGGACTGCCCAGCCCTCCCCGTCAACCCTGAAATGCGGGGAAACGGGGGCGTACTTCCTCATCTTGTTTTCGATCCCTAAGATGGGCGTTTATTTTGCAAACGGCGGTAGTTGTAGTAGTACTAGTGGTACTCGCAGCAGTTGCAGTATTGGTAGTACTTGTAGTTCAGAAGATCGTAATTTGTCGTAGCAGTAGTCGTAGCAGTCGCTGTCGTATTGCAGTAGTCGTAGACGTAGTAGTAGTAGTAGCCGTAGTCGTAGTTGTAGTCGTAGTCGTAGTAGTAGTAGTAGTAGTAGTAGTAGTAGTAGTAGTAGTAGTAGTAGTGGTAGTAGTGGTAGTAGTAGTAGTAGTAGTAGTAGTAGGAATAACAATAGCAGTAGTAGTCGTATTAGTAGTAGTAGTAGTAGTAGTAGTAGTAGTAGTAGTAGTAGTAGTCGTAGTAGTAGTAGTAGTAGTAGTAGTAGTAGTTGTAGTAGTAGCTGTAGTAGTGGCAGTCGCCGCAGCATTCGTAGTTGTAGTAGACGTGGTAGTAGTAGTGGTAGTAGTAGTAGTAGTAGTAGTAGTAGTAGTCGTAGTAGTAGTAGTAGTAGTAGTAGTAGTAATAGAGTTAGTAGCAGCAGTAGTCTTACTATTAGAACTCGTAGCATAAGTAGCCGTGGTAGTAGTAGTAGTTTAGTAGTAGTGGTAGTAGTAGTAGTACTGTAGTAGTAGTAGTAGTAGTAGTACGTAGTAGTATAGTGGTATAAAGATAGTAGTAGTGTCGAGTAGTGGTAGTAGTATGTTGTAGTAGTGTAGTAGTAGTAGTAGTCGTAGTAGTAGTAGTAGTAGTAGTACATGTAGTCAACGGAGTAGTGCGGAGTAGTAGGAGGTAGTCTAGGCTCAGGAGAAGGAGTCCGGAAGGTATGAAGTAGGTAGTAGAGTAGTAGTATGTAGTAGTATATTAGTAAGTAGTATAAGTAGTGAATGTAATAGCAGTAGTAAGTCGTATTAGTAGTAGTAGTAGTATTAGTAGTGTAGTAGTAGTAGTAATACTAGCAGCAGTAGGCTTACTATTAGAACTCGTAGTAGTACCGTGGTAGTAATTAGTAGCATTAAGTATAGTATAGTAGGTAGTAGTATAGTAGTGGTGGTAGTAGTATAGTAGTAGTCGTTGTAGTAGTAGTAGTAGTTGTAGTAGTAGTAGTAGTTGTAGTAGTATTTGTAGTAGTAGTAGTAGTAGTAGTAGTAGTAGTAGTAGTAGTAGTAGTAGTAGTAGTACATGTAGTAAACGGAGTAGTCGGAGTAGTAGGAGTAGGTCTAGGCTCAGGAGAAGGAGTCGGAGTATGAGTAGGACTCGGAATAGGATTACGAATCAGTAAAAAAGAAGGAGTAGGAGCAGGGGTAGGAGCCGGAGTCGTAGTCGTCTTCGCAATCGTTTCCGTAGCACTAGTTGTAGCAGAAGGAGCTGTAGTAGTAGTCGTAGTAGTAGGAGTAGTCGTTTTAGTATTATTAGTATTATTATCAGTAGTAGTAGTAGTAGTAGTAGTAGTAGTAGTAGTAGTAGTAGAAGAAGTAGTCGTAGTAGTAGTAGTAGTAGTAGTAGTAGTAGTAGTAGTAGTCGTAGTCGTAGTCGTAGTAGTAGTAGTAGTAGTAGTAGTAGCAGTAGTAGTAGT